AGCCGGGCTTGCACTGTACGATTTTTTTGCCCTTTTTGGCCAATTTTCTAGTTGTGTGAGAATTCTTTGATCAGGCCAACTTTCAGCCTGATGGTGCGTGGTGTAGCTGTACAGGGGGTAACGAGGGCTATCAGCCTCTAACGACCACCTCTCCATCAGGAATTGTAAGGTCGGGAGAAAATCAATCATGTTTGAAATTCAGTCGGCCTTCGTAAAGGTGGTCGTGGGCAAATTGCATACAGATGAAAACACAGAAGCATTGCGCCGTTTGATTTAAATGGAGTTCTTTCTGTAAAACTGAGAGACCAGAGTAGCCATACTTGCTCAGCCATGTCTTTGTCCAAATACGTTCTTGCCTTTTCTTTTTAGGGCTTTCAGCACAAATAGCCAAGGCAGCGTTTCACTCTAGTGAGCTTAATATTCCTCTTCTACTCGTTTGGCTTCCGGAGAGACGAGTCCGAGTAGCGCCATCTCACTGCGGAGCTGAGTCCCGTGTGATATTTTTTTGACGTACAGTGAGCATCAGAGCGTCGGGTCACACCGTGTGAACTTTTAAACCCTGCGGTGTCGTCGTACAGTGTGAGCTGTAGCTGCGTGCAACGATTGAAAAAAATCGTACAGTGTACGCCCGGCTTTATTCCCTACCCTGAGGGAGAAATCTATTATTGATGGATAAGAAGCCTACGCTTCAGGTCAGGGAATTTAATACGACTTCTTTAAATTGTTGTTAACAAGAACATTTATGGATTTAGCAGACGCTTTTATTCAAAGACCCCTCTCCATTCAGGTGATTGTGAGGGTTGCAATTTCAGGGTGTCTTAGACTAGAATGACTAGCTCAGTGGCGCTGGTTGAAAGACAAGCCAGTGTTTCAGACTTGAATTCCAAAAAGTAAAAAAAAACAATCCAGTGAAAATTGTTCCCAAGTTTGAAGATGTTTCTCTTCCCATCAAGGAAGCTTTTTGAATTCAAAATGTCAGAAATAGCGTTGGGTTCCAGGCTTTATGCAGTTGCCCAACAAAGCCTGGTTTTTGCTTAAAAAACATCCAAATTGAAACGGACTAACGGTTCCACCCCTTTGGAATGGGACTCATTTGGCCAAAGGGGTGAACCTGTTCGTCCGTTTCAATGACGTGGATGACTGGGAATCTTCACCAGCATATTTCAGACTTAAACTTAGTTGCAGAACCCTACTTTTTATAATGGGTCAAGTGGAAATGTTAAAGCCTTCTGGACCATGTCGATGTTTAATGTATCAGTCCAGCAGACGTGAGCCGTTGAGTACTGGTACTGTGGTTTGGATTGACTCCGTCACACCTCCACATCACTCTTCTGCCATAAGACGATCTCATCTGCTTTTATTGATATATATCTTATAATTGCTACTTTATGACACCTTCAAACTGAAGCACAACTTTCCACCTCATCTAAATATGCATATTGACAGAACCGGTTTGGCACTCAGAAGGAGGTTACAGTTCACCAATGTTTTCGAATCGTCTATGGACCTCCCAGTAGACATTTGCAAAGACGCCATGTACCATGTAGGGTCATATGGTGGATTTTTTTAGGCTGCATGGTCCTAACATGAAAGGGTCCAACAGGCATTTGGTCTGCAGAAGTCACATTACAATGATGTAGAACCCAGAGACATCATATATTCCAGGAATGTCATAAAGCATCTGTCCCATGGGTTCCATTGTTTCCTGGCCATATCAGATGTTACAGAACTCTAGAAATGTCATGTAGAAACCTCCAACTACATTACATCTACTTTATAATATTTTTAAAGATTAAAAAAGATTAACAAGAACTCTTAAACCAGCAGGCAAAGACTCAATCAATGCTATTTCCTTTGGTCTTGAAGATTATCTATTGGCCTTAATGACTCTACAAGGCATCCTCATCTACAAACTCAACCCTGGTCTGAGTTTGGACCAAAGTTCCTCCAAACTGGGCCATATCTTTGGAGATCTGATCCCTTTTAGTCAGGGGGCGTGGATTTAATGTGTAAAACAGGCTAAAATGCAGGATTCAGTGTCTTAGGATCTAAACATACTTGCTGTATTATATATTTTGTGTATGGTTTATATAAACTGTTGTTTCTAAAATACACTTGGCCTCTTTAAAGGGTGGATTATTGGTGACAGGAACCACCTAATGGTTCTGCTCTGATCTATATTCCCATCTAACTGTGTCGCTGTCTGTTTCTCTTTCATGTCCAGTGGAGAGAAGTCTTTGGTTTGGTACGTCACACAGTCGAACTCAGCATCTGATCCTTCATTAAATCTGTCTGTGGAGACCGCCTTCAGCTTTCTAACCTCTGCACCCGTCCTGCTTTTAGTTCCCTCCTCCATCGGGGGAAAAGTCCTTTTTATAGACAGCAGATGCAGACTCTTCTTCGGAGACCGAGAGGCTCCCTGCATGACTTTAAAACGTCCCCTTCCCTCACAGACTGATGTTTTAACAGATCGGTTTGTCCTGTTTTAAAAAAACAATCATTTATCCTCCTTGTTTGCTTCAATCCAGAGCGACTCGCTGCTTCTGGATGACTTTGAAATGGCTCAGCTATTTATGACCCGGTAAACGCCTTCTCTTATAGGAACCCTTGGCCTGTTTTCTCCTTCCTCCTCCGCCTCCTCCTCATCCTCTCCACTTTCACACATCTTGTTCTGTGTAACATATCCATCTCCTTTGTGCCAGAAATGACTCACTACCCTCCTTTTGTGTCCTCCCATCTTTGCAGCAACTGCAGGCAGCACTTTGACTGTTATTTCTCAGCAATCCCCCGTTCTGGACCTCTCCTCATCCTAGTCTTCTCTTTTCTGTCCCCTTTAAGGCTTCCAAGTGACTCTCCTCCTAACAACCCTTAATGTTTTTCTCCCTAAAAGTCTCACTCGTGATATTTTGTCAGAGTAAAAGCTAAAACATTCACCAATGCTGCAGAGACACCTAACATTTCTATCTTTGCCATTCTCTTTGAAGTTAACAGCAGTGAAGGAAGATTGACATCTTTTAAGAGATATGGGACGCTGAAACCCTCAGTTTCCCCTTTATTATCCACAGGGGGGGGTTTTGGCTGCACCAACAAGCTGTATATTATTTCTACCCTAGCTACAGATTGGAATCAGAAAGTTTTGCTCACCAAATGGCTGATTAAATGGTCCTATATAGAGACAGTTCTGATATTTGAAGAAGCTGCAGTGCAACAAACTGCATGGAGGTAGCATAAAGGTGCAGGTTTAAAAAACGGTACTAAAAGGAGAACCAAATGGAATCACTTTAACTCATCCAGGACCAGGAATGGATTTCCAACCTATGTTAATTTTAGGGTAAATGTTTAAACACATCATCAGCATAGAGTGAAATTATGGTTAACAACTGTTAAAGGAAAAGTCCGGTCAGCAAAGAATAATCAATGGATCATTATTTATACCTAAAACTAATACATTCAAGTTAATTTGATGAATTTAGCGTTAATGAGTTTAAAAATAAATATAATTTTTGTCACAATCACGGAGTCTGGGAGCGGCCATTTTGTTCCAGCAGTGACGTCACGGTTCGGTTAGCCTAGCGCCATTCTCCCCGCTTTACAAGCTAAATCAAT